TGATAGAGATTAACTCTAAATCGTCTTGTAGTAATGCTTTGTACACATATATACATTTTTGACGTTAAAATAAATAGAACCGTTATGCCATGATTGGGATCATGATTAGAAGTAAAGTTGGTCTCATCATGACCCCATGAAAAAAGAAAACGAATACGTGAAAAGAAGAAAACTTAAGAGCTACTGTAATATAATAATAATAATAATAATAATAATAATAATAATAATAATAATAATAATAATAATAATAATAATAATTGATTACTGTTGGTACAATTATGAATATTCTTTTCTAATTTTACTTTTAAACACAAGTAAAGAAACCTCCATGTTTAGTACATTGAGATTATTCCATAAATTAGGACCAGCAACAGAAACAACAAAATTACTGAGTCTGACAACGGGAACTTGGATAGAAGCACTTATAAAAATGTATGTAGGCCTATAAATTTTCCTTGGTGTATCTAACAATTCTAACATAAGAATAGGAAGCGGTATTTTTTTTAAATACTAAAACATAAAACATTGCCAGTTGAACCTTATTAATATCAAATAGATTAAATTTTTTAATCTTCAAATGAATGTTCAGATGGAGTTTTGGAGGATGAGGATATTTACTAATTCTGCCCGCACGTTTCTGTAATTTAACAAGTATATTCAAATTACAAGGATGATCAGAAACCTACATAATATTGCAATATTGTAAATGTAGTAAAATAAGGGTATTAAAAAGGGAAAGTAGAATATGTTCTGGGAAAATAAACTTTAGCCTATTAATAATACCAATAGTTTTAGATATTTTCTTAGAAATATAGTTCTGGTGACTGGTCCACTTCAAATTTTCTTGGATGTAGGCGCCAAGAAATAAGGTTTCTGTTTTATTCACAGTTATTAACAAAAATGATAATCATTGAAATTTTTCTTTGAGTAGAATGAAAAATAAAACAATTAGATTTTTTAATGTTTAGGCCTATACAAAGTTTATTTGAAGCGAACCATGTCACCAAATTTCAATAACTCTCTGTTAACATAATACATCTATATGTTGATTTGAATAAAAAAAGAGTAGTATCATCGGCGAAAGATATGACCTGCAGTGTGTCACTAACATATTTAAATCATTAACATAATTTAAGAATAGTGATGCTCCGAATACTGAACCCTGTGGACAACCACATGTAATTTTCCTTGTCGTTGACTTGGACCAAATGAAACAAATTGTTTCCTATTTACAAGATAACTTCTGAACCATCCGAGTGTTAATTTTCAAAATGTTCAAGCTTGCCAAGGATACCAACACAATAAAATGTCGTATTTACCGAAGTTTAATACCCAGATGATCAGGCTGGCCAAGTACATTTTGCGATATTATGGCTACAAAGTTTGTCTTCATACATTATACCATCATACATAGCCGTAGAAGCATTGCGGATGTCCTGTTCACAACGAGAAAATTCTACAACATTACGCAAATCTCGGGAAATCGAAGGTATGACTCTGGCATCGATATTCACAGTAAGTCACTTCCTAGTTTGAACTGCGCATGCCCGTACCAAGCCAGATTCTAAACTACGACTTGGAATATAAATTTCCGGTCGGCAACCCATGGGTCGCGACCCAAATTTGGGTCCTGAATGAATTTTTTAGGGTCATCTGGGTTTAGTCTTAATACATCAAAAGTGGTTGAATAATTGGCGCCATAATGTTTGTATTTCAAACTACCGTACAAATACTATACTGAATTTTGTCTGAATATATTTTATAGTGTTGTCATTCGTTCACTCGGCCTGTTGTCTGCTCAGGAAGTTGTTATCTAATAACAACTCCCTGGTCTGCTCTTAAGGAAACTTTCGCTTTACCGCCTGCTAAATTAGTATGAAATCATAATTTGCCAACAGTGCTGTCGACTAATGTCAGAATTAGGGTGTCCCAAAAACAGACAGGGGAGGATCTAGAAATTTTCAAAGGTGGTG